TAAATAACCTCCACCTCGAGCCTCAATTCTTCGGCGTGACTCTGGCCGAAAACTCTCACCACTTGACGGCTACCTCCAAACGACTCGTCTTCCCCGCGCTCGCTAGTCAGCGTCGCCAGGCCTCCACATGATGAGCCGAGGGAAACGGTTGGCGAGGCGGACGTGAGGGATCCAACCAGCCCTAGGCTGATGTGACGCCGCGATCCACTCGAACCCCCGAAGATTGTGGAGGCTGTGGAAGAAGCTGGGTTCGGTTCACGAAGAGACGAGGAGCAACTAGATTCTCGAACGGAGGTACAGTTAGAATGCAGACTCAATGCAGGAGAGCTTAGCTCGGTCCAATCTGGCGCTTCCTCCCCATGATCCGACGAGTAGATGGGAGCTGGGGATGTCGTCACCTCGCCACCACGACGACCTTGGGCCCTGCGAACGATGTCCGGTTTCAAGAGGTACCCTGTGGGCTGGACTCGGCTGCTCTGGAGGCCGGATGAGCTGAGGCTGGGCAGAAGACGGAGGAGGCTAGGCGCCACGCCCGGCTCGTGGAGATGCAGGCGGACGCTGCTCGTCTTCGGCCGATGACCCCCCCGACCGAACAGTGAATTCGAGACAACTTCATAAACCAAATGAAAATAAAAGGAGACAGCTAACTTGTTAAATTCATCTTGAATGGGTTGCATAACTATCAATAACTCTTGAATGCGAATTCTATGAGATGTTTTCACGACATTCCGTTTAAGGTAAGTAGACTGTACACCTCCATTCAATTTCACATAGCCATGCTTTTGCAAAAGGCATTATCTTCCTGGCTGGAGTGGACTGTAGTTTCGACCTCACCTAAATTGGTCTCATCAGCATCCTCACTGGGATTCGAACTGTGACAAAGAAGTGTATAAAAAGTATAAAGATTAGGCGCTGCTTTGTCATAATTTTGGTCCCGCTAGGGGTGCTGATGAGACGAATTTAGGTGATGTCGAAACTACGGTCCACTCTTGCCGGGATGAGAATGCCTTTTTGATAAGAAAGGCCATATGCAATTCAATGGAAGCTTAAGGTCTACTCACATCACTGTATGAAAATTCAATTACTAGTCCCCTTATCCCCTTAAACGAAATAGGATAATTGCATCTATATATATATATATATATGGTTTACTGGTAGTCTCGAAAACCTACTTATAAAACGAAATATCATAGTTCAAGTCAGCTTAGGTCACTGTAATTGATGAGGGACTGATAGCTGAAATTTCCACATGGATATGAATGACCCTCAAGTTTTCATCGAAGATCACAGCCTTTTTTCTCAATCACTCAGAGTGACCGCAAGTTTCACCTCCCCAAGGCTCATCAGCACTCCCAGCGGGAATCGAACCCTGGTAGTGCAGCTGGTAGGGCATATTTTAGTGACATGGAAGACTAGGCCTATCTCATAGCACAGTTCTAGTTGGAATGTCTAGGGGGCAAACTGGTATTTTGCAATTTGAATCAACTTTGCTACTTATATTCATGCAAGTGGATTTCAGAAATATCAGCTAAGCTTGAATAATGTGATTTAAGTACAGATAGTTGAATTTTCCCACTATTAGATGAGTATATCTCGTGTTTCTATTGAAATTCATTATCTTCGCTTCCACCAAGCGGATTTAATCCCTACTGGGGGTGCTGATGAGATAAGTTGTGTCGATGTCGAAATGGCGATCCAGCCAGGATGAAAATACTTTTTTTGGAAGTCAAGCTACATTAATATAAATGGAAACATGAGGCCTATTTATATGATTTTACAGGAAAATTCGACTTTCAGTCCCTCATAACCTTATGTATCCGAGGCTGACTGAAAATTTTGTTTACTGGCTCTTTGCTCACATAAAGTCAAGACAATTGTGAGTTCAAGCATCAAGAAAGTGAGACTAGGCGGAGTTATTCCTAAAGAAGAACCTAGTCATCCCAGAAAAAATACATGTCTGCTTAGTCAACAATCTCACAATAAAAATGTGATTTGAGTGAGGCCCGGCTTGTCTTGAATGCCATCTTTGACCTCTGACTTCTGACCCACTCGCACTCGTGACTACGTATTAAAGTGGTAACGTTGTCACGATGCGTATGTAAATAAATAAATAAATAAATAAATAAATAAATAAATAAATAAATAAATAAATAAATATATAAATATATA